CCTCGTCCTTTTGAAGCCCTGCCTAGAACAGCCTCAGAAAATGCAACTTCAACAAAAGGGTAAACGAAAACATGTACATGTATTAATATATGTATTTCATATACATAGTGATTTACTTCCTTATGCTCTCATTTATGTTCAAAAACACACATGTATAATCACATCTTTGACAAGGGAAGTAGCCCTTAAACATCTTAGAGCGCAACCTGTACACCCTTGAAAAGGAAAGCAAGAAGCACTTAGATGCTAGAGATGCTACTCTGGCAGTGAAGGTGCTTTTCAGGGTATACACATCTATGTAGAATTGTCTACTCTAACCACAGCCAGGCTACAGCAGAGGGCAAAAGGTTCAAGGCTTAGTACAGTAAGGCTTGAAGCCACAAAACCTGAGCCCTACAATCTGAGCCCTAAAACCCAAGACCTGAAATTTATAGACCCTGAATCCCCGATTTGGGGTCTGGTGAGGTCTGGGGTTTGGGGTTTGGAGTTTAGGGCTTTGGGGCGCTTTAGGCGTTTCGGATGAAGGAAATCAGGATTTAGGGCTTCGGGAGTTTTAGGAGTCTCGGATTTTGGATTTCAGGGTTGAGGGTTTAGGACTTTCCGAGTTGAAGCCTTGAACACATCTCCAATCTTGGCAGGGCCTTCTTGGCTGCCTGGGCCATGCACTCTTTGACCTGCTCGCACGCGGGTGGCGCCTTCGAAAAGCAGATGGGCGTCTGGAGGCTGCTCTGGAGGGTTTAGGGTTAAGGGTTTAGGGTGTATAGAGCTCACGTAGGGTCTATAGGGCACATATCAGGTGTCGGGTTAGGACTTGCGTGTTTACAAAAGGGTTCAGGTACTAAGGACTTGCAATATATTCGCTCTCCTTTGCATCTAAGTATCTGGACGGAAGGTGGAGGGTTGAGTTAAGGTTCATGAGTAGTTGACAAGAGGATTATCAGCGCCCCAAGTAAGGCCATAACAGATGGTCATAAGCAGTTACACTAGATGGTTCAGGTTTGCGGTTCAGGGTTTGTTTAGACCCCCTAACCCTAAACCCTGAACCCTGAACCCTGAACCCTGAACCCTGAACCCTGAACCCTGAACCCTAACCCCAAACCCCAAACCCCAATCCCCCTTTAGTCCCTTGAAATCCCCAACGCCCGAGGCCGGGCTTCCCGACTACGCAATCTTTGGCGGTGAGGTGGAAAACGACCATGCCACCCAGCCCGGCACCTCCGTAGATGTTGTTTAGGGTTTAGGGTTTCAGGTTTAGGGTTTAAGGTTTAGGGTTTAGGGTTTAGGGTTTAGAGTTGAGGGTTTAGGGTTTAGGGCTGAGGGTTTAGGGTTTAGGGTGTTTGGTGCAAGCAGACATTTCTGAGCAGGGGATTTTGTTGAGTGACATAGACGGCTGAGGGGTTTAAGGCGTTTGTTTTGTTTAAAATGGACTCTTGCTTGTCCAGAGAAAGCAGGAGTGTAGCGAGGTCTTCCCCAGCAGAACCTCCAGCCCACCCCCTTCCCACCCCCCCCCCCCCCCCCCCCCCCCCCCCCCCCCAAACCCCCTCACCCCCCCCAACCCCCCCCAACTCCCCCCACCCCCCCCCACACCTGCCCCACGCCCACCCCTCCCCCCCCCCCCCCCTCCTCCCCGCCCATCTACCCGACAGACACAGACCAGACACAGACACGGCACAGGCACAGGCACAGGCACAGGCACAGGCACACACATGCAAAGGCACGAGGCAGCTGCACAGCAAACATTCACACCACACCCACACCCACAGCGCCCACACCCACAGGCACAGGCCACCCACACCCACCACCCCACACCCACACCCACACACCCAACACACCCACACACCCACACAGCACACCCCACATTTACCCACACCCACCAACCCACACGCAACCCCACCCACACACCCACGACCCACCCCACACACCCACACCCACACCCCCACACCCACACCCACACACCCACACCCACACACCCACACCCACCCACAGCCACACCCACACACACACACACCCACACACACACCACACACCACACCTACACACACACACCACACACACACCCACACACACCCACACACACCCACACACACCCACACACACACACACACCCACAGACACCCACACACACCCACACACACCCACACACACCCACACACACCCACACACCCACACACACCCACACACACCCACACCCACCCACACCCACCCACACCCACCCACACCCACCCACGCACCCACGCACGCACACACACGCACACGACATCCAAAGGTTGGAGGCTCGTGCGGAGGTTCGCGGCAAGACCTATGCAGACTTTGTCAGTGCAGGTCCCGGCTGCTTTTGGTCGGCTGGCGGATGATGAACAAGCGGGGGCAGATGACTTTGAGGTTGGTGAAAGTGAGATGTGCAACACAGGTCACTTCTTGAACGAATGAAGACTCTTAAACTCAGTGTTCTCGCCCCAGAAAAGCACAATTGCGCAAGCTGAGGTGCTGGTACTGTAGTTGCACCATGCTGCGCCTCACTCATGCCCTTTTCGTGCCCTCATTGGTGTGCCAGGATGGCGATGGATTGGTGATCCCCGTGGTTTCACGTCGCTGAGTTGCAGTGGGGCCGGTTTCTGACTTCCATACCACGGCCAATTCGTGCTAAGGAGACGAAGCTTCATTCAGTGGCCTCACCCTTGAGAAGACTTTGCAGCGATACCACGATGCCTGTGAAGCCGAAAGGGCCGCGAACAGCGCGGACCAAACAGAGTCAAAAAAGCAGTGCTGGCAGCAGGTAGACTCTTTACAAGCGGGCTTCTCCTGCCAAGAAGCTGCGTTGCTTGATGTATCAGCTTCACCGCAAGCTGCGTCGAAGAGTATCATGGAAGATAGGCCGTGCATCTGACGGGGCATGATGCACTAAGGTCTGAGGATCAACAGAATCAGGGAATGCTGCTGGAGATGATGGTTCACTCCTCAGATGATCTCGGGGGATAAGAGACGGTTTGCAGAGCTCATGGTTTGGATTTTAGATCATGCAATGCATTCCAAGACCCCAAACCCGAACCTCAAGCCCGGTGCGTCATGGCTTGTTAATGTGCTGCACACGGATGATGAATCTAGTGCAGAATGATGCAGAATCGTAGGGGCCTGGAAGCATACCCTGCGGGGTCGGCAGCACTAAAGTGTGTACTATAGCAAAGCACAACTAGAAACAAAAGCAGTAGAAGTGACACCACTGGCTTCATGTACGTGAGGCGTGAACTGTTGAGGTGGAGGGTCACATCACATCATGCTTCCATCTGCCAAGTTGATCGTGGCTCCAGGAAGCTGCAAGACATGTTCAATTACTCTGACACCGACAACCTTACGTAGGGCACACCCACCGAGAGAACTCCTAGGATTGACTCCCCCTAAAGCAGTGTGTGACATCACACTGACAAACACGTAGCGCCATGGGACAAGGGCCTTGCACCTGCGATCGCAGCCCTGCTGTCACCACCCAAACAATCAAGGTGGCACTGCTGCACAGTTGCCTTTGTAAGTAGAATGCGGCGCGAGCAGCTAAACATGCAGCTTCTCACCGCCTTTGCTATGCCCAAGACAAATGCAGCTATCTAGTCAGTCATGCCGGTGCCCGACCCTGACCGCCTGGCTTGCTTTGTACAGTCGCCAGAACTAGCTCTTTAGCAGCTTGCTTTCGTTCTTGTTTATCTTGTCTTTGGGTCATCGAGGCTGTTTTGGACCATCAGGTCCGATCGCCACATATATATAATATAATATAATCTAATCTAATATAATATTATATTATATTATATTATATTATATTATATTATATATTATGTGTGTGTGCATATGGATATTTGGGAATTTGAGGTGGGCGGGTGGCGGGGCCTTCCCACCCGCCTGCCTTAATTTGATACTGCTGCGTCCAGTGGTCCGTGGTGCAACCGTAACAGTGGTCCAGTCCAACCGTAGCTGCGGCACCACAAAGTTTTAGAGGGCGGCCACAAAGTGACACAGATTTCAAACATGTGGGGATGTTGGCCTGTGTTGTCGAGTGACCCATACCCAAGCGACTCCCATTCACGCACCTCCCTCGCCTGTGGTTCATTGTGGGTAAGTGAGAACTTCAGATTGGCCTGTGTGGTCGTTGCCCTCGGTGTCCATGATGGCCACTAGCGCTTATCTTGTCTGTATATGTCTGTATTCGGTTCAATCCCAGACAGAATCAGCGATAGACCATGCGCGCATGAGGAGAGTGCTGACCCCAAAGCTCTTTCACTGAAGGTGGAGCTCGGATGAGGATAATGCTGTTAAACGGGGTGCTCCAAACAACTCTGAAAATTCTGTGCACATGTCTCTCTGTCGTACTTCGTGCAAGAGAGGCACTTGGGCCTCGACCTTGCATATCACTGCTGTCATCACCAGAAGTCAGCATTGCCTCAGGTTTTCGGAATTAAGCTCTCAAGAGATATGGAAATGCAACTGGCATGGGAGCCCAAACCATTGCAGATATCACTGTGTCAGGGTGATGACGATGCTGCGGATGCTTGGATCAGCACGTGTTTCCGGGATTCCATGCCTTGCAAAGACATCCTGACATTGTGCTATTGTCCACAAACCCCCCCCCCCCAACCCCGCCTCCACGCCACCCGAAAACAAAAGTCAGGATCCGTGGATTGAATTTTCTAAAATTAAGGGGTATATGGCTTAGGAAATGCAGCCCGAAAGCGTGAATGGGGCAAGTTTTCTGATTATAGCGTTCATTCATTGGAATTCCGTTAAATTCCAATGAATCGCACTCACCTTGGTCTTGGCTGGTAAACGCCCTCAACACACAGGATAGCAAGATACGTGAGATGTGGCTTCCATGGCGTTAATGGGTCCACGAACCTGATAGGCATAGGTCCCATGCTCTCAAATCAAGATGTTTTCGAGGCGGTCCTCAGAACACGAACTGCCTGCGGACCCTGTTAAGATTAACTCTGCAACACCAGAGACCGAGACCTGGAGAGATGGTAAGCCTACAGCCGCGTCGCCCCACGAACAGTCAAGTTGGCTGTTGGAGTGTCTTTGAGGCTTTCGCCACAGGTGCTGTGGCTGAAGCAGATGCTGGCGGTGGAGCCGGAGCGACAACGGCACAGGTGCCCTGGCGTGCTAAAGCAGCAGCACAACAGGATTTTGTACCTCATGCTCGATGCGGCATGCTGGGATATGCTAGGAGCTGCTAGGGGTCTCAATGAGCCCGAAAGAGCCCACCCTCAGAAAGATCTGCCGAACGTAGGAAGAACCAGAACTTAAATCAAGAAAGCATGAACTGATTCCTGAGGTGTTGTGGTGAAGTGGTGTCAGCCGAACCTCCAGATATTGCAGATCTGAATGCAGAAAGTGCCTCGACTATCTGAGGCTGCCTCCGGCGATGCCACATATGAAGGTGGCTGGCTGAACAGCCAGAAGCACGGCCACGGGAGCTTGACACTGAAGGTGCGCTGGCAGCCGAGATTTTGTTTGACAGCTGTGGTTTATTGCTCACGGTTATCTGACGTCAAACCACGAGGACGGCTCAAAGTACGTCGGCGGCCATCTCAGTCAACAAGCAGTGCGGAGTTTCCACATAAGCCAAAAGGAACAGTTTCATGGTGCAAAGGTCAGTTCAAGCATGACAAGAAGGAGGGAAAAGGCATCTACCATTATCCATCTGGTGCCAAATATTCAGGCGATTGGGCTGGGGCCTGAGAGCAGATGCTTGATCAACATCTTGAGAGAGCGACAGCAGGACGAGCTTAACGGAGCGTTTCTACCACAAGGTCAATGACCTTCAGGAAGGGGAAGGCAAGGAGGAGTGGGCAGACGGATCTGTCTTCGAGGGCCAGTTCAAGGCCAGAGCATGTGCAACAGCACATCGCTACGCATCATTGCTACTGGTGTGACAGTTCCATATCATATCTTCTATGGTTGCACACTGTTGCAGTTCTTACGGTTAGGGCAAATGGAGGGTTAGATGGAGTTGTGCGTGCGAAACGCACGCGGGTACACGGACGCTATTCCTCGAGCGGTGGTCGCACTTTCGACAGAGCCGACTTCTCGGGACCTCGAAACATCGCAAATTACCATACTACTTGTACCTTTGTACGACACTTTCGAGCCACTGGAGCTCCACACGTCCTCGGCATACTTGCGTCCTGCATCAGTTGACTTTCGTGCCACCAGAGCTCCAGAAACACCCAAAGCGACAGTTTCGCATGTTGCGAACCCCGGCGTCCAAAAGCGATGACAGTGTCCATTTCGCGAACCCGGACGTCCAAAAGCGGTGACAGTTACGAGGATGGCGACGTGGACGGCGCCCAGGCGGGAGTGCGATGTCCAATGTCCCGAAATGCGAAGCGACAGTTATGGAGATGGCGACAAACGACAGCGCGATTGCAATGCCGTTATTCTGGCCGCACGCAGCGAACCCATCCGACTGCCCCAAGCGCAGGATTCCACGAGCCTGCCACGTTTTCGGGACGCACGGGACCTAGGCGGAGAGCATGGTTTCCACCCACACAAACACCACAAAATCCGCATTGGGCCTAGGCGAGAGCGAATTCGACAACATGCACGATGCCAAAAGCATTCGACTTTTGTAGTACAAATACAAACGTAGTACGATGCTCTTGCATTTCCACCACTGTTAGGGGTCTACACTGGTATAATTTTGGTAAGGACACCCCGCGCACAGTCAAGCCGTTTCGGCCGCCGACCCCCCATTTCCCGTCTGGTGACACAGCCATGCAGCATAGAGCATAGCAGACAGGATGCAGACACAAGTCCAATCTCTTTGCAAGGCCGGTGCCAAGCACGGGCGCGGGAAGTTTGTTTGGTCCACGCTCTGTCGTTACGAAGGCGAGTTTGTCGCGGCCTCAATGCAGCAAAATGCAGCCTAGCTGGTCCTAGCCTCGGCTGTGGCACAGATATCCTGCCGAGGACAACAACGACATGCATGGTGAGGGGGTCTACACTTGGAATGACGGCCGCGGTTACTCCGGCAGCTTGGCCTGAGCACCTGGGTCCGTGGCGAGTTCATGCGAGTTCATAGGCATAAAGAAATTTAAAGAGTCCAGATCTTTGCAGGCTGGCTTGCAATGGCCCTCTGCGAGAGAACAGCCTGAGAAGCCTCAGGCCAGTGGAATCGCAACACCATGGCTCCCAGAGGGAAGATGTGGCAGCTGGGCTGATGCCGAGCAAGTATACTGAGATACTGCACGACATGCAAATAGCTAAGTTGTTGCAGCGCAAAATCTGCAAGCCAAGGTGGTCTGACGGCCGCACTTACGAGGCAAGGGCAGTGTGCGATGACTTGCAAATACGAGACGTGAGAAATAGTAGGTCGACAAACGTCAGCGGAAGAAGAAAATTTACAGCAATGCACAACGTCTGCCATGGTTTGAACAGGGTCTTTTAAGCCCAGCCTCGCATGCTCAGGGGGAATTCTTGGATGGGCGAAAGCACGGCGAGGGCACTCTGCATTTTGGCTGCAAGGCAACTACAATGCACGGCTCCTTGCCCTTTGCTACTAAAGACGGGACCCGACACGGTGGCAACTGCGAGATTGTCTGAGCGACCTGGAATGTTTGTGTTCGGCGGAAGTGCAAGTATAGAATCCAGTTGAATCTTTTGCCGATGTAGCTTCCATGTGGTGCTGCGGGTTGAGATGTTCCCTTGCATACTCTTGCATGCCAGATTCAAGGAAGTGGCCGGACGGGCGGTCCTACAGTGGGCAGTGGCAGGCCACGCAGCTTGCTGCCATGACTCGGTATGCAGTCGCATTTGTCCGAGATAGATAAGATGTCGAGGTGTCTCGAAAAGCCATGAAGCTAAGCCTCTGCCTTCCGTGACAGTCACGTGATATGCAGGATGGCAAGCAGCATGGCTCTGCGATAGCGCGGACGGCCAAGGGCCTGCGGCGCAAGAGCATTTGGAAGGACTGTGCGCCATCCTGCGTCATGGCCTGCTTGCTGTAGCTTTCTCGACGATGTCACGAAACTTAAACAATGCTGAGCGATGAAATGTAATCTTTGCCTTAGCGTTGCTTGAGGGTTGCTTTAAAATGAGATTTTCACCCTTGATTGAAAGGAGCAAGGCTTTGGAATGACCTGAGTGCCCTGAGGGTGGGGAACGGGAGGTGAGACCTCTCCTCAACCAATAGAGGACGTTGGAACGAAGTGAAGCTTTAACTTCATTTACCCTTCTTTGTTTATCAAATTGATGGCCGACAGGGGTTTCCAGGAATCAACAGAATCTGGAAAGGATGGGGTTGGGGGGGGGGTAGGGGTAGGGGTTAGGCCCAATGATACCAATGCAGTGTACATATTAAATGAAGATGAACAAAGAGAAAGTGTACCAGAAGATGGACGTATCCAGTTCTTAGTACCAACATCTTTTCTCCATAAAAAATCCAGACAAGACCGGAATGCCAGGAAACATTAAAACGAGATGTGGAAGAACACAGGAACTAATCCCATGGTGTACCGATCGTGGATTTCCGAAATCGGCAAAAGCAATGAAACAACGCTTGTTTTGCCAGACGGCAAGGCTATTATTCGGAATGGCAATGCCATTGATTGGTTGCCAAAGATCGTCAAATGAAAGTTCCCGGGACGATTATGCTGATAATCCTAAGCGCACAAGTTGTAAGATGTCCAACAAGAAAGATAAATGCGGGCCCTCTGTAATGACTCGGCCTTGGATCTGGTTGGCTGAGGAGCAGGTGACGGGACGGGGACCGGGTGGAAGCGAGGGACCGGAAGCAGAGAAAGGAGGGAGGGGTCCTGCAATTGTTTTCCTGAGCCTTGGGTTGGCCCGTGCCTCATGCTTGTCAGCTGCCACTTGACGTCACCATATACAGTGTATGTGCTAAATTCTGCTGCGCCAGTCTAAGCCAAACGGTGTCGCCGGCCTGGTCGAAGCATCAGCTCGGCCTGGACAAAGCAGCAGCCCTGCAGTGTGATTTTCCAAATGGGTATGCCTTTGAGCAGTGGTGCAGGATGGCAAGTTTGTGGAGTGGGCTTCTGGGCTGCAATCGTGAATTGATTGGGATAATTACGCATGGGCAACGCATGCATATACACCTTCATGGCGTCTGCTATCAGTGAGGAGTATACAGTACCAGAAATGGATGAAGCTTGGAAAGCCTCCGGCAATGTAGATGTGCCGAGCCCCGCTGCAAACCACCTCTCAGAAAAACTAAGCGGAGCACTGGCCGGATCTGGTATGCTGACGAGAAATACACGCTTTCGACACTTTGGCGGACTCTGTCTTGAAAGATGGATTTATTCCTCCTGGCCTTGAGGGCTCCGAAGCCCGTACATGACCACATAGCAAGGCTCAATATATCGGAAGCACCACGCCTCGTTGCACGAGGTGGGCGGCATTATTGACGAAGATGGAGAAGCGGCTGCCCCCGAGGAAATGAGCCCTGCCTTGCCCGAAGCCGAGGCCCCCTGAGATGATGGCACTTCCAAAAGCTTCCAAGCCACACGTCTAGGGGGGGCCTTGGTTCTCCCGTTTCACCAGATGCTTTGCCTCGGCCGGTCAAGTAGAGCACTGAACAGCCACGAGCTTTCTCAATGGCTGTTTGTGCCCTCAGTTGGCCATTGTTGGCCTGCTGAGGATGCGTCTCAGGCTTGTCCAAACGCTTCTTTGCAAAATAGATGTTTGCTTCATCATGTTTCATGTGCACATCACGTGTTGGAATTTCCATGTGTTGTTCCTGAGAGGGTGTTACGATGAGCTAACAACAAGTTTAGAAGTTCTCCGGTACTGCTGTCAAAGTGCAGCGGGCTCGCAGCATCGAGTTCCTCATACAGTAGTTCCTCGCAAAAATCAAGGCATATGCTGATACACCAAAGACGCACCAAAAACACACCAAAGACACACCATGGATCCTGGTATCTTGGCAGAGGCTGGAACTCCAAACAGGCGGTCCTGGTCTTCAAAGAAATACAAAGGGGGCCAGAGAGCTCCAAGAGTCTTGATGCTTCATTGGGCCGAGCCACGCTTACGGCAAAAGCTGATTGGTGTCTCCGCTGCCTAGGTACTAGTGTCCTGTGTTCCTAGTGGACTCGGCAATATATCCAAGTGCACCCAGGCTACTAGCCGCACAACGGAAGTTTGAAGGGGATCTGCTACTCGGTGCTCATGTGTTCTCTCTGCGTTTGTGTGTGGGTGTGGGTGTGGGTGTGGGTGTGGGTGTGGGTGTGGGTGTGGGTGTGGGTGTGGGTGTGTGTGTGTGTGTGTGTGTGTGTCGTGTGCGACCTGTTGCAAACAGGCGCGATGTCACACCTGGCATGGCCTTGGTGTTATTCGTATCCATCTGCCGCGATGTGGAGTGTCGACGCTACCTGCTGCTTTGTTTGTTTGGTTTCCGAAGACTCACAATTACGTGAAGACCAAGATTTCGCATTCCAGTTGCATCAACTCTTGCCAAGTCAACCTGCGTATGGTTCTGGCTTGTTTTCCCGCTTTGCCGTGTCTCTGTCATCAACCGGAACTACTTGCGTGCTCGGTCATCAACCGGAATTACTTGCGTGCAGCCTACATGTACTGGTGTAGGCCTGTGTGCTTGATTGATGTCCGAATCCGTTGGTCGTGACCATCCATCGACAGGCGACGAGGTAATTGCAGGCCTGGTTTTGGAGTGGCAGAATGGGTGCCTCTCAATCAAGCCCTATATTCAGCGGATGCATTTTTGCTTTTGCCGCGCAGTACATGCCCTAGCTAATGTTGGTAACATATTGTTGCCTTCCCTCCTATTGGAACCCATCAATGTAACCTGCCTTCCTTACATTTCTGACAAGATGAGAAGGGAGAGGGAGGGAGGGAGTGAGGGAGAGAGAACAAAATTGGCTCAAGGTGCCTTCCTCGTCGATCTCGTGAAGAAGCAGATCGCAGTCTCGAGGCGGGGGTGCGGCGGTCCCCTCCCGAAAATGAATTAGTACCTAGTCCCCCTTCTTTCTCCAACGGTGGAAGGCGCCTGAGCCATAGCTATCCGGCAGAAATCGGCAGCACCTGACCTCAACATTCGAGCCTTTGGGCAACCTCCTTGAACAAGGCAACGCAAGAGCCTGCAACCAAAAAGAGCACGCACAGTTTTTCCAAGTAGTAACTAGTAACCAGGTAGTAGTAGTAGTCGTAGTAGTAGCAGTAGCAGTAGCAGTAGCAGTAGCAGTAGCAGTAGCAGTAGCAGTAGCAGTAGCAGTAGCAGTAGTAGTAGTAGTAGTAGTAGTAGTAGAAGAAGTAGTAGTAGTAGTAGTAGTAGTAGTAGTAGTAGTACCAGTCGTAGTACCAGTAGTACTAGTGGTAGTGGTAGTTGTAGTAGCAGCAGCAGCAGGAGTAGTAGTAGTAGTAGTAGTAGTAGTAGTAGTAGTAGTAGTAGTAGTAGTAGTAGTAGTAGTAGTAGGTAGTAGGTAGTAGGTAGTAGTAGTAGTAGTAGTAGTAGTAGTAGTGGTAGTGGTAGTGGTAGTGGTAGTGGTAGTGGTAGTGGTAGTGGTAGGGGTAGTGGTAGTGGTAGTGGTAGTGGTAGTGGTAGTGGTAGTGGTAGTGGTAGTGGTAGTGGTAGTAGTAGTAGTAGTAGTAGTAGTAGTAGTAGTAGTAGAAGTAGTCGTAGCAGCTATTTTTCCGGTCAGCGCCATTGCTTATGCTCGTGTTGTTGCGACTTGGGATTTTCGGTGCCGGTAAGGATGGTCAATGCTTGTGCCACCTTTTGCCGCCTAGATACACGAAGCATGGCCACAACTGAACATTCGTGAGGCCAGCCCTGTGAGGTGAGAGGTGGCGATGCTCAGTTTTCGCACAGCAACGTATGCCTTTCAAACTGCCATCACGGTTACCTTAAGCACCGCAAGCATGCAGAGCATATAATGTGATTCCAACTTTGCGGACATTTTTGACGAGGTTGGTCACCGCATTGTTTGCCGCCAAGCAGCCACCACACTCAGTACGCAATGATGTGGGAGCGTGTCACAACGAGTTACGAGTGTTGGGAGCGAGATTCGCACGAACACATACCCGGTTGCTACCCGGCAACCTTAGCTTCCGGAAGTATGCCAGACCCGCTAACTCATCAGACTTGACTTTGGAATACACCAGCTTGAGCATTGCCGACCTTGCCGGAAAACATGGTTTCCACCGGAAATATAGGCCTGGCCGGTCAGACATGCTGGTCTGCCCGGAGGTTCTGCCACTCTGAAATGCTGCCACCATCCCACGTCCCATCACATCTCGCACCCATCAAAAACCTCTCAAGTACTGCAGGAATCCGATGGACCCCATTGCAAATGGTGATGCGCTCGCGACTACGGCTAAGGCCAACATGAATTCATGATGACTGCTGGGCTTGACAACAGAGCAGGCCAGGTTTTGTGAAGTTGTTCAGGCTGCTCAATGCTGGGCCGTACAGGCCGTGCATTCAAGTTTAACACGACTGCTTGATGTTATCACTGCTACGCAAGGACTCTCTTAGCCCGGCTTAGCGCGGAAATGCTTGAAGGCAAAGCCATGCAACACACACAATAAACCAAGCCACCTTAATTAGCAGCCTTAGCAGTGGAAGGCTGTGGCAGCAATGGTGTTTTACGAGTTCCAGGGCGTCCCCAGGGAGGGGCAGCTTGCGCAGGAACACGGAAGAAGTGTCAGCCATCTTCCGGGTCATCGAAAGACCACATCAACGATAGATATACTAGAATTGCGTGCTCAGCGCATCTCGTGCAGTATTGGAGTTTTGACATGATTTTTGCTGTACGTCTACGTGCTAGGGAGAAACCAGCTGAACGCAACTGCTCTGGCTCAAGGACATCTGTCATGCTTTGTCCTTGTTTGGTCCCACAGCGCATTGATGAGCCACATGCTGGGGTCGTTGAAGTTCCACCAGATGCTGCAGTAGTACAGGCCAGATCCTGGGTTGACAGGGACAGGTTCTGACGGGCATATACAATGTTGAAAGTTCTTGGGCTGCGGGCATGAAGATGTGTCAAGTGAGCCTCTGTAGTGTAGAATGCTCCTGGTTTGCAATGTTTGTAAAAGTGAGGCTTGACATGCTGTGCCCTACGTCTCCTGGTTCTGCTGCGCGAGTTCTTCCAATTTGAAAAGTGGCCCACGTGACGTGTATGAGGCGTGCATGTTTGGGCTTTGGCCATTTTCCTAGTTTTTCGGTATACAGTAGACAGGCCAAATATAGGCACTTCAATGACACATCTATCTGCTCACTGCGCAATTGTCGCGAATGGTGGCTTACCACTGACTCTGACTTCAGCCAGCAACGCTCCACTTCCTAACGCCACTTCCAGTCCGACACTCCAAACGTTGATTGAAATGGGTAGGACCCCATGACCCCACGCCTCTTTCGCTCAAATGCAACCAAACTGGCCAGGGTTTCGGCAGCCCACAACTTCACACAATTAACGAGCCCAGGGAAGTAAAGGCAAAGTAGAGGTGCCTTGAACTGCCCGGGACTGGAGTGTTCACGAACGTGCTGCGGAGCGGCGCGCGCCCAGCCGAACGAAGCATCGTAAGCCTCAAGAAACGGTGGAGGCTGACGCTCTCGAAAGCCCTTTGTCTTTCCAGAGACCATACCGAAACTCCTGGAAGTCAAGGCAAATTACAAGAAAAGCATGCAGGGAGAATTCCAGTCGGTCAGGAACACAACAGTGTGCGCGCGAATGATGTGCGCAGGAACATATGCTGTTCAGTAGGTTCAAATACCCGGACAGAATCGCTGAGCCGATAGAGGAAAAGTCAGAGAAGGGCCGCGCAGGTAGGAGGAGGAAGAAGACGAAAGCCGCCAAGGAGACAGCAAAAGGTAACACATGCTAAGACAAGGGCCAACACGAAGTTCGTACAGGTATTGTCTGAACTGAGAGTGCAGTGATGTGCATAGGAAGCTTCGAAAATCTTGAACGGTGGGAACATGGAATTTGCGCTATGAACTTAGATGTAGGACAGGCGGCTCTGTTCCCCAAAGTGCTTAGAAACACTTTTCTTTAGGAATGAGCTGCGATGTCGTGGTTCCACACTCACTGGCACAGGTACTTTGACTTTAGCTAGGAAACCACGCATTGAGCAGGAATGTGCAGGAACCCGCTACAGAATGATTAAGTCTCTCGCGCGCCTCTGAGGCACAGTGTTCTGCAATTCAGCAAGTCAAGAGGGTTTGTGTTTTTTTGGGGGGCTCAGGTTTAAGAATGGCACACGGGTTGCACACCCGCGAAACATTCCCCGTAACATACCCCGAAACATACCCCCGAAACATACCCCGGAACATCCCCCCGAAATTGCAGGTAAAGTAGCTCCTGATGCCGCGAAACATACCCGAAACATACCCCCGAAACATACCCCGAAACATACCCGCGAAACATACCCCGACCCCAACACGTGTCACGCGCCTCCCGATTAAAATATAAACCCAAGAGAACAGCCGTGTGCATGTGTGTGAATGACGTGAGCAAGAACTTGCTGAACCGTTCACCCGACAGAATCGCTGAGCCGATAGAGGACAAGTCAATGAAGTTCCGTGCAGGTAGCAGCCTTTCCTACTTCAACAGATGCAGTATAAAAATCCTTTGCGGTTCCAACTAGAAATTGTCTGGGTGTTTGTTAACTTGAGAATGCTACGGAATTCATTTGAAGTAAGGTTAACTGATCACCCCCACCCGTGCATCAAGGAGCTAGGGTTTCACCAACATTGGCAAATCATCATGGCGCCAGTTAAAGAGCATTGAAGAGCCCAAACAAGCCCTGGCATTGCGGCCATATTCATACTGCTAAAAGGATAAACAGGTGGCCCGGGTTGCAGCTAGTTTTTTCCATTGAAACCTGAGCCCTTGGAAGATTGAAAAGAGTGATGTAGCAGGTCTTGGCTGCAGACCCGGCTGTCGCTTTGTCTGCATTTTTCTTGGCCCGGCTGAAGCTGCAGTAGCTCTAGGTAGACCTGTATCTGGCACGGTGTACATGGGCATGCTTCGACTCTATTCATGGCAGATTGCAAGATCACACCTTCCTGCAGGACCAAAGTCAAATGCCCAGGTAACTTTGTCGCTGTGCGACCCGGCTCCGTGGGCGCCTGTGCGGGCCAGGAACAGCAGAAGGGTGGCCGGCGGACACTAAGGCGGGGTTAGCAGGTGGGCGCAGAAGGGGAGGGTGCGGGGGGAGAAGCGGCAGGGGGAGCGGCAGATAAAGGGCGACACGCTTCGGCACATTTTCCAGAGGAGGAGATTAGAGTGAGGCGATTAGAGGCGAGGTACCTGCTTTGTGCTACCCGAACACCTACAGCCCGAGGCCTCGGCGGATTAAGCCTTGACATGCAGCTGACTTGGTCGGTATATGCTCGTCAATAGCACCTGCATTGTTTTCGGATGTCTACCCCAAAAGTTGCTGCTCGTATGACCCAAGGTATTATCAGACGACCCCGCCTCGCCGGCAAGAGTGCCTCGGTGTAGATGCTGCAAAGTTTGGGCTTGCGAAAGCTGCTGAAGTGCACATTGGCGCAGAGCACTTTTTTTCTCGACAGCTGGTAGTGTCTGCAAGCATCTGAAGCTGTTCAGCTCTCGCCCCCCCCCCCCCCCCCAAAAAAAAAAAAAAACAATGGATTCACGCTTGAGTCACTAAGGCCCCTAGGCCTCTCGGCTTAAGTTGTCAACCTCATTACAGCTCAGGATCGCACGGCCCTCCCGCCTGAACTGTTCTAAGCTGATGAGGCTCATGATCCTGTGTAAGGGCTTTGCAGTAACCAGCTGACTGTCCCTAGTGCTCACCAGCACCGCTTGACCGCTTCAACCGGAGGCACAAGCACGATCACAGTCCCACACGAGTCCACAAGGCCGCCTTGAAACTCGTAAACCTAAGAGCGAATCACAAACAATTCGTCCTCAGCGTCCACTGCTGCCCCGGTTTCCGCAGCCCCTGACGTTTTTCAAGCTTTGTGTTTTTCGTGTGGGCTCAGCTTTACGGAGGGGCTTATTGTTCGAGACAACAAGTTCCTACAGGAGCATGCCGTAGGGGAGCAACTTGATATTGCTTGCCAGGATTTTGCTCCCGGCACACCTCCCAACTGCAGTAACTGAAGACTGGCCACTCTTGCTGTCACATCCTGCCCTTGGCTTTGCTCACCTGAATATCCGCTCCCACGGAACAAACCTGCCGGCTTCCCATTGGCTCTTCAGGGTCACACTGTTTGCCGCCGAACAGCTGTTCGGCCCGATGCGAGCCTGGGTTTCCGACATGTTCGACATGCCTTCCAGAGATAATACATACATCAAGGGTGCCTTCCGTCATGTGCCATGCATGGACATGTCCTGACCCAGTTCGAGTGACACAAGTGTCCTAAGTGTCTTAAGCCTCTTGAGTGAGTCCTAAGTCCCTCAACCAAGCTACCCAAATGTCCCAAGTCCCAAGCATCCCAATGTCCCAAGTGTCTCAGGTGATGCCAGCAATGTATGTGAACCTCAGTGACCAAAGTGTCGAGAGTGACCCAGGTGTCCTAGGTGCCCCCAAGTGATTTCAAGCGCCTAAACGCACAGCACATGAGTCCGCATGCCAGGTTCGATCAAGCATGCGCGGAACGCGATGCCATCGGCACAGAACAGAAATTGACCGGCCGCGCGTGGAATATCATTGGCATGCCAGCATGTGCAACCGCAGCTCCGAAAACTTCACCATAAGTCTGTCATATGCCTTGGTCCCACCAAGCCTCTCTTTTTCGATTGCCGCTTCAGCATACAAGCGCGGCACCCGCAAAGGGGTTCATGATCGGACGGAACCACATCCTTCGCAAATGGGACCCTCGACATTGTGTTCCTCAAGGCTGCCTGACCCACCTGTTCAGCCCGGCCTCGATGACCCCATTAGTTGCCATGATGCTTACAACCGGTAGCAGTGAGCATGTCAAGTTGTTCAGCTGGCAAGGGGTGAAAGGGTTTAGGGGCTCTATTCCGGCGATTGCACAAGTCCAATGCCCCAGATGGAACAATTTCTAGTTGCGCTCGCTTCGCATGCTTGGGTTGCCAGCTAGCGATGCCTCCATGTACAGTGTTCCTAGTCTGTGGAGTCTGTGCAGTCCTGAAGCAACCTAGGCCGCATTGCCTCTGAACGTTGAAGTGGCGCTTCCGCTGACAGCATCGCAGCCGCTGCTTGTGCAGACTTGAGTGCTTTTCTGTCTGACTGACTGGCAGCTCCCTATGTGTCGGCCACAAGCATTGCAGCGACACTGAGTTTTGCAAACGAAAGTTCGCAAAACCATTCTGCTGTCACGAGGTTGGGCCTCATCTTTGAGAGCCCGGATGACCAGGCCCTCTTCATCACGGACATTTCGGGAGCGGCCAAGATACACAACGAGAGCTCCAGATGCAATCCGCACGTCATCGTACTCGTAGCATCATTGAATCATGAGGCATCCCTTGGCCCCCCACCACAAGCCCACTCGCTTGCACACCGATTCTGCGTCGTGCATGCGCGGCATGCAGATCGCACGAGGAACAGCCCTGCAAAAGTTCTCCAGCTGCGTGATCGCGTCGTCAGCGTTGACGGCCAACAGGGGGACGCAGAAACTCTTCAAGGCCACCTGCCCGAATGTCGGCACAAGTTCTGGGGCTCAATCCGGGAGATTGCTGATTTTGTTCCGGATTTTGTCGGGTTATTCCTAGGCCTGTCGACTAATCTTCATAGCATGTCGATTTCGGTGCAGACTCAGATTTATGGCGACCAATAGAGTTTTAGGCAGTCGCTGTAGTCCTGATTCGGCGGCATGGCGAGGCGTGATAGCATGTGATAGCCTGCTTTTTGGTTTGGCCCTATTCCATACCATTCATGCTGCTTGGCCCAGGTGTAATTGCTCAGCGGCTGGCAGACAAGGATGCCAAAACGATCAACATCAGCGTGCCTTGTCCCGCCTTGTAGCTTCGGGCTGCCGTGTGCTGTCCCCAGCGTATTTGCCAAAGAAAGCCAAAGAATTGAGCCAGCAGGTGCGGCAGCTTTTGATTCGTGAACAGCTTGAGTGCAAGCGCAACGCTGAACAGTACGCCTTGAGTTGATCGGACTTGAGGTCGTGAGACCTGGACTACGTGAGGTTGTTCTCACCGAGTTTGGCAAGCTTGGAGTGGAGTTGAAGTACAAGGATGCCTGCACTAGTTTACGAGTGCATTCAGATCTCGTCATGCTTCCTGTCATGCGGACATCGCGCACATGCTAGCTAGATGCCAGCTACTTTGCGCTTGCGAAGCATCCCGATCGCCGATCACATCCAGGACACGTCTGCTGGGACGATTATCTCGGCGATCGAAGAAGATGGTCTCCTGGCGACGCTTGCATACAACGTTGCGAGGCGTGGCACTGCGGCAAAGTTACCCCGAGACCCTGGCAGACCTGAGCTAGCCAAGCCCGAACTGAGGAAATGGAATGCTCAACATCCAGAGGCAAGTTGTACTGAAGGGATACGTACATTATGATACATTCAACTTGTCGTGCCCATGGCTTCTGCTACGCCGCCGTGAACCCGGACCCAGTATGAGATGCAAGAATTGGCTGTACTCATTCCTAAGCATGTGTGCAAGCCAATTTGGGCTGCAGAAGGCAGCGGTGGCACTGGGCGATTACATCATCGCCGTTAATGAAGTGACGTTGCTTGGCTGAGTTGACGCTTGAGAGTCGTGAATCGGAGAAGCGCCCGGAGAAGATACAACATTCAATGCAGAGCACATGACAACACATGTGAGATCAACTGTCAGAATACTTCTTTCTCTCTCTCTCTCTCAGAAGAATCGAAAACATTGGAAAAACCCAGAAAAAGCCGCGGACCAGCTGCAAGGTGCTCGCACGGCCCGGAGATTCTGAAAGCTTTGGCTACAAAGGCGCCCAAGGGAGCAAAAGAGAGTGCATGTGCCATGAGAGCGCTCGGCCAGCTGTGCTTTTGTGATCGCCAACCTGAGGTCAAGTTGAGGATGACCGTACTGTCCGTGCTGCACTACTCAAGCTGACGCCATGCATTGACTCGGTGTGCAAAGTCCCGTTGCACCTCTCAGTCTCACTTGTTATTTTGCCGTATCTTCCCCTTTCCCCGCCATGCAGCAGCAAATGACACCTTGTCCCGTCGCTTGCCATTGCGAGTTGCGAGGAAAGCAGATCTCGGACGAGTCATGGGTAGTCTGACAGCCATTAGCGCAGCACAAGACGGCCATGATTTCGCCGGGAGCCGGTTTCAGAAAATTGAATAGGGAAAGCTCCCCCGTGTGGTTCAGACAGAGCACGATATGGCAAGCCTCCGGGGGCTGTCAGTGCGTGAATTCATCACCGTTTTCTGAACTACACGGATGTCAGTTTCACAGGCCTGGTGAAGTTAAATACATAAACACGGATAAGCACGGTACTTGTGATGCGAGCGCCAGGATCAAATTCTAGAGCCGAGTTGCCGGGGCATCTGGGGGGATTCTGGCAGCGTTCAGCATGCTCGGCGCCTTTGCGTCAGAAAACAACACATGACCAGCGAGTCGACAAGCTTCTAGATGCCCATGTGCTGCATCACCTTGGACGTGAGAAACACATTCCTCGATTACTCCGCCTATTTTGCCAGGGACGGCACAGGCAGTGCAGCAGCGACTCAGCCCGCGGCAAGGCATAAGTCCGAGTCCCAGACCCCGTTTATCCAAACTTGCGATTGCACCGGTCATCTCCACTCCTGCAGTTTCAGGTTTAAGGTTGCACGCGCAGTCTGATGATGGCTTTCGGTAGTTGAGATGATCTTGCAAGGGCTGCGCAGAAGAACATACTCGAACCGTTTCTGTCAAAACAGTTCGTTGATTCATGATATTCATGCTCTGCCAGCAGCGCCGTTATGTTTTGTATAAACTCAAAGAGTGCTGAAGGCCTGGTTGAAAGGGTACAGTACAAAAACCGCTCCGCTTGGCCCTGAACCCAAACACCCTTATACATCAGCCCGAGGGCTCGATGTGTTTAGTGTTAGTGCTGTGTCGGATGGGGAGATTTCGGATTTAAGGTGGCGACCTGGACCTAAAAGACGCGAAGAGAACCATTTCATTTGGCTGTTTCGCAGGGCGGTTTGTGGGCCGAGGCAGGGGATTCTGCCGGTCTTGAGCTTGTAGGGTTTTGGATGGATTGGAAGCATCCGGCGCCTGCGGTCCACATACAGATGCGTGCGGGATGTCAGGGGTTTAGGAGGAGAAGTTTGGTCGTTGGTGTGGGGATCTGCTGGGAGGTAGCATGAGGTAGCGAGACCTGAAGAGATGGGCGACGTGGCAGCAGAAAGGTACTTAGTGCGCAGTACCCGCCTGGACCCTGACCAAAACCTGTGGTCAACCCAAGGCCTCCAAATCGGGTACCCCAGCTGCAAAGGGCTATCGGACGCAGAACTCATTGCAGCATGCGCGTGCAGCAGAAAGAATGGCTCTTGTAGCAGAAATGTGCATTTTCAGACGTACAAGCAGTGGGCACGATGCGCGATGCCAGGATAAATTTTCAATGTCAAGCGGTGACCTTCGTTTGGTCCTAGAAATCCGGCACTGAATCAAGGCTCCATGAATCTCGTTCTTCAATGAATACTTACTTGTGTGTGTGTGTGTGTTATCTCCCCACGTGATGCACTGGTGCTTGACTGACGAAGCACCTATATGGATTGCCAAATGGCCTGGTCTCCAAATTCAGGTAACCTTTCTGTCCCAATCCCCACCTTTTTGCACGAGGACTCTCGCGTCGAACCTGTTACAAAGCCTTTTCAACTTAAGCCGTCCTACACCTAGGGCCCTGAAGCCCTAAACTTCCCAAACGCTACCATGACCCCAACACCCCAAGGCCCTAATCCTAAACCCCAACTTCTGTTTGCAGAAAGAGACCCTTACATTTACATCTAACCCATACATTTAACTCTTTTTCTATCACATGCAACCCTTGACCCAAGAGCCCTGCACCACCAAGGCTGGGGCTCTGGTGGGCCCGGGATTCGGCCTTCGAGGGCCCTGGCCGCAGACACAGCAGAGAGGCTTTAGGGCCTTTAGGGCTCTTGAAGGACCCTTTGCAGGGCTCTTTGCATGGCTCTGAAAGGGCTCGGAGCGACAAAGAAGGAGCAACGAAACAAGCGGGTTGCGGGGACAGCGCGAGAAGACAACACGCAGGAGTATGGTGGTAGACAGTTTCGCAAGATAGACGTGATGCCATGTAGGCGTACCCAAAGCGACGCTGCAACAAGCAACAGACACTGCACGGTGCCAGAAAGTTGCGTCCTCAGAAGTTCGGATCTAGGCTAGGGGCTTCAAACCGTCAGCAGCTGCAGAGCATACAAATCGCCAACATTCGGCGCAGCAGTGCTTCTGATGGAAGGACCAAGGGAGATCGCTTTCCAAGGTGTGTCGGTGAGCCTGTTTCACATACCGTAGCATTGCCATGGAGAACAGCCACAGAGACTGGTTCGAAGCCGAGTTCCGAGCTTCGGACGAGCGTGAAGCTGTCGATCTGAAAATGTTTCGATTATTGCAGGAAGGAGCTGGTCAAGTGACGGTCGTGCAGATTGAGCAGCCAGAAGTCATGCAAAGGGCTCTTCCTACGTCTTGCCAGGGGACGATCGAAGTTGAGTTGCCTCGGCTTGCGCAAAAAGTGTATCCAATGCTGATAGCAGCTGATGCTGGCTTCCTAGCCTGTGAAGTTAGGACCAGGGAGGATGTCTTCAGCATGAAGCACGGTGCGCGAGAGATGTTGTGGTGCCAAAAAGGTTCCGACACTGATGAGTGGACTGTCCGGCAACGGCAGCAGGTGAAAACGCAAGGCGAGTGGTTTGTGGGAAGTTTCATCATTCCACAAAGTGATTCCTCATTACCACACTATTTGCTATGTTTCTTCCTGGGCAATCACAGCCGTGTGGAAGATGGTGAGCTGAAGCGAATGTCTCAGAATCCTGGCTGCCATCTGTGAGTTGTCTCAATACTTTTGCGGCCAGTTTCTTTTGCTAGGCTATTGGTCATCCATGCAGCAAGTAGGTTGAGACCGACTTGTAAACACGGCTTCATGGAACAGGTTGTCGGGTCAGATGGACATAATCGTCACAAGCAGCACGGGTAGGCTGTTTTGACTGTCATTGAGCGCCTGGCAAGCATGTGAAACATAGCTGGAAGCATGGAGCGGAGTAACAAACCGGAATCCGGGGGAAGAAAAGGAGTGGAAGAGAGCAGCGCACAGATGGAATGAACACGTCATGCAATGGATTGAGGGCAGAACTGGCCGAGGCAAGCAGTGTTGCACAACAGTGAACAATCCTGAGGCATAGCTGTCATGACTTACGAGACACAGATCAACCATGCGGAAGGAATGTGCAGAGAGATCGACAATAAGGCAAGCAATCAACATAGGTAGAGCATGTAGAAAACTGCAGGTTCATGCCGCAAGCGGCATGATTGCAACAACAGCGCCGAGAAAGGCAAGAGGATGGGAAGCCCTTGGCAGAAAGCATCACAAAAGTCTTGCAGAAATGAGAGGGCTGATTGATCGAGAGTGACAGCGTGCAACAGTTTATTAACACACGCATGCTCATCAACGTGCTAAATTTGGAGTGGTCCCAGTCGTAGTCAAAAACACTCAGGAACTTCGGTTTGGGCGGCATCTTGTTTGTCGAGCTTTGGAGTTGGACCCCGTCAGGAATGAGCCGGCTGGCGGTTGATGCAGTGCACACTGGCCATTCAATGAGCAACGTGTCATATGCTGCAGCACAGGTGGGGACGAACAACTTCATATGCAGCATCGACGACCGCTTCAACGACGACAGCTTCCAGCTGGTAGGGTTTCGCGTAGACGTCGCTAGTGATGCTAGTGAGGCCAAGCTTTCCAGAACTACAGATTTCTGGGCACCATTGCCGCGGGAAGCCTCTTGGACACTTACACCTCTGTCCGTGCTGCAGTCCTCCGTCCAGCTAGCCTCGGCCAGGGTGCAATTGGTGCGGAAGTTCTGCTTCTATGTGACGATCTGTTTTTTTGTTGTGCCGCAGACCAGCAGCTCTCCGACGCGAAAAAGCTTCGCCTTTGCTGGGCCATATCTGCACGGTGCAGAGGCTGAGCAGTTGGAGGAGGAATATGACACGGTACAGTTGAGCGTCTGCAACAACGGGCAGAACATGCTTCTACGAATCGAGTACAAAGCAAAAGTAACGCGCCTCAAGCTAGAGGAGCGAACTGTGACAGTCTTACTTTCGCGTGAGGCTGAAGTCGTGAACATAGTGTGGGATTCGGCGACTTCGAGCACATTCCATGGGGAGGGCCAGCTTCCTCTTTACACAGACCACATTCAGAACCAAATGTCCCTGCAAGATATCATGCTGGGTTCTTCCCCACAGGGTCCTTGTCCTAAGTGGCAAGGACGCTGTTACACAAAAAAGGTGTCGGCATGAGGCTACCGCAACAGAAAAAAAAACATTTCATCCATGACGCGCATCGTAAAACTGCGCAAGAATTCCGAGGAAAGTGCTAGAATTCCAGAAGCTTGAGGTGTGGATGTCGGTCTCCAAAGCTGAGGATTTGGACTCGCGGTTCCGCCCTATGTTCCGCTGGCGCTAATCGGTCAGACCCTCAGACGAGCTCTCCGATTTGTGGTTTAGGGTTTCAGTGTTTTTGGGTGAAGATTCAGCACGGGGTCGTTGATAGATAACCTTATCGCGGGAGCCAAATCAGCCTGCAGCCATCGTCACCATCAATTACCAGCATCCATCACATTGGCAAAAGCAATGCGAATTGACCAATCGAACTTTTGCCGCTTTGCCTACTGTATAGCTCTAGATTGACCTGCTTCACCCACCAACAGACGCTAACATCAGCAATGAAGCCGGTGCAGCGAACTGCAACAGCTTCCAAGGATCGACCCAGATACCGACGGCTTCCCAGATGATCCAGGGCCTATAAGACCTGAAGCCCGAAACCCAAAAGCTCCTTAATTTTAAGCAAAACCTATGGTTTTAAACCTCAATCCGAACTAGGCTCTTTGAAAGGGTTTGGGATGCAATTTCTGGTTAGGGGTTCGCCACAATACGGATGGCTAAAGGACTCGATCCGCCGAAATTACGCGAACACACTTTATTCGCACCAAATCAGAAATGAGATCCGGGAAGGATGATATTAAAATATAACAAAATAAAGAGAGAAAGAATTTCCATTTCCCAACAATGGAAAAGCCCACCACCACCAACCCTTTTCTTAATATTCGTCGGATTTGATGAGGGGCGTATTCCCTTCATTTTTATATGCTTTGGAGAGCATCCTGGAGGTTTGGCCCAGAATATTCTTCCCTTCATATTATGAGGATCTTAGATTTATCATATATGCCTTTTTCTTCAATGAGGATCTTAGAGATTTATCGCATAATTATTTTTTTGAATTCGTAGGATTTGATGAATGGATTGGTTTATGGAATTTGATGAGAATTTTAGAAAATTATTGAATATCTTTTCTTTTCATATTTTATGGGATATAATATATAAAAGAAAGATTATGAAGAAATAGGATTTGATTTAATCTCTTATTAGAGGATATATTTTATTGAATTTAGTGTTTTCTTATAGATAATATTTCAATATCTTACCTAATAGAACTTATGAGAGCCAAAGAATTAATTTGATATTTCATTGAGGATTTATTTTGATCTTTTATTTAATAAGGAGCATGATATGTTATGAAGAAATAGATTTATTTTTATTGCCGTAGCTTAGGATTTATGTTGGTGGCTCTTTTAGGATGTGTTTTCGGAAATAGGATTTATTTCAATGATTTATTGAATAGGTTTCATGAGAAATTAGGATTTATTTCCAATAATAGATTTGTGAATAAGTATAATTATATTTTAGTATTTCATCGTGGGATTTGCTTCATTATTTTATTCAATAGGTTTCATGAGGAAATAAGATGTATTTTAGTATTTCATTATAGGATTTGCTTAGTGCTTTTGGGCGTATAAATCGTTTGCATAGGATTTGCTTTAGAGCCCACTCTCGGAGGAAAAGGGATTTATTTTAATTAATATCCCTATAAAAGGCTACGGGCTCGACCCCTATTTTCGCTCTGCGGCCGCCTTGTCGGATGCCCCGCCTCCTCTTCCGGTCCATTTGGCTGCTTGTGAGGGCCTTGTAGGGGGATCCTGAAAATTCCGGGAATTTTAACACTTTTTGTCTAAAAATCCTGGGAATTTTGGGAATCACCCGGAGCTGAAAATTCCCGGAATTTTAGGAATTGTCCGGATTGAGGTTTGGGCTTGCCGGGTTGGATTTAAGGTTCCAGCGCAACAGTGATGACGTGGGTGCCCCTTCACCTTCAAGGAAATCTTCAAGGAAATCTCTTGGTCCAGGGTAGTTCCGATGACGGTCGCCGCCCGCCAATTGTTCAAGGGGGTTCGGCCTCACGATCACATATCAGCAATAGCTCTCGAAAAATCCTAGGAACTTAAATTCCGGGAATTTTCGAGGTTTTGGGGTTTAATAGAAATTGTATAGGGTTTGTGTCCGGAGTTTTGTCGTGTTTTGGGGGGGTTTTGTTTCTTGCTTTTGCTGTAATGGTTTGGGTTCTGTCGGGTGTGGTGGGGGGTGGGTGGTTTTGGGGTGCTGAGGGGTTGGGGCTGAAAGGCTGGGGTTTTGGGGGGCTTTCCCGAATGCCCGTGGCGGTGGTCCCGTGGTGGTGGTCCGTGTCCCGTGGTGTTCGTCGTGGTGGTCCCACAGCGTGGTGGTGGTCCCGTGGTGGTGGTGCTCCTTTGGTAGTGATGGTCTGTCGTGGTGGTGGCGGTGTCCGTGGTGGTGGTGGTGGTGGTGGTCCTTGGTGGCCGTCGTGGTGGTCCCGTGGTGGTGGTCCCATGGTGGTGGCCGGGTGGCGGTGGTCCGTGGCGGTGGTCCGCGGTGGTGGTCTCGTGGGTGTGGTTCCGTGGTGGTGGTCCTGTGGTGGTTGTCTCGTGGTGGTGGTCCCGTGGTGGTGGTCCCGTGGTGGTGGTCCCGTGGTGGTGGTCCGTGGTGGTTGGTCCGTGGTGGTGGTCCGTGGCGGGGGTCCGTGCGGGTGGTTGTGTTGGTGGTCGTGGTGGTGGTCTCGTGGTGGTGGTCTTGTGGTGGTGGTCTCGTGGTGGTGGTCTTGTTGTGGTGGTCTCGTGGTGGTGGTCTCGTGGTGGTGGTCTCGTGGGGATGGGCCGTGGTTTGGGATCTTCTTTTCAGGAATGCC